AAACAGGGAAATTTAATCTCATTAGAAAAGATCTGGAGATAGCTAAGAACAAACTTTTGCAATTATATCTTTAAAAAGATGCACAGGGCTACTGTTAATATAAGTTCATAACAATTTCAGTCAAAGACACTGTTTATTAATTTACATTCAAAAATAAAGTGCATTGGAAGACTTCATTTTAAAAGTTTATTTCTAAGAAGTGACATTTTTAACTTAAAAAAACAGAATACCCAGGCAAGAAAAGCAGGGAACAAAAGCAACCCTTCCCCGCAAATAGCATATAGTTGCAATTCAAATAAGCTCACAACATTTCTTGAAAACAGTAGTGACAGAGACTTTATTTACAAAACCACAACTAAACACAATAAACATCTTTTGATAAACCAATTAGTTGCTAAGTTTCAAACAAGAAAATTCTCACAGTGATTAAGCAGACTTTAGTAAGAGAAAGGCTTCCTTCCAGGCGGAGAAGACACTTCCACTCATAAGGAGTCGTCTTCTGCACCAGCATGTACTTTAGGAGACCCCAGAGCCCCGACAGCCACGGCGGAGCCCCACAGCCGGGGAGCAGCCCGCTCACCTCTGCTCTGCGCAGCACTGCGCACGCTGCCTACGGCACCAATGTCCAGCAAAAATATGTTTCCTTTTGCTTCCTGCTCCTGATGTCCCGACTACCCCAAAAGCTAAGGGAAGAGCATGAAGTACTCAAGGTGTTCTGTGATAAGGCTCAAAGCCCAGTGACAAAAACTCACAAATGAGGAGCATTTTAGCTACACGCTTCTGTGCAGCAGGTGGGCATTTCTGCCTTGTGGAGAGGTTCTTTTTTTTTTTTTTTTTTTTTTTTTTTTCATCATAAAATGAGAAACTAGGAACAAACCAATTTGCTGGATCCATTTGCAACTTGCTTTTAGAAAGATGTTTGTTTATGGGAGATATTGATGTCTCAGCTGATGCACAAATGCCACTGAACAAAAAGTAAACACTACCACTAATAAGCAAGGACAGCAAAGTTGTTCTAGGAAAAAAAAGCAATACTGCTAATACTCAGAAAGAATTTGAGATAATGGGAAACATTTACTTCCATGCACTTTCTGATTTTACTTTTCCTTACATAAAAACTAGATGACAAGCTTAAAACTCAGTGTCGACTACTGTATAGCTCACAGACATCTGAGCATTCATATTTCATATGTGCATCAAGCAACTTAAAAAAATAATGTTTCAGTAAATCAGTATGTCTGTCATTCTGAAAAGTTTAATTATGACTTGCCCTCCAAACTCTTTTTTTCCCCTTTTTATACAGGTATGAATAGAATGAATATGAAAACAAATTAAAAATTTTGCAGAAAATAATAATAAAACAAGAAGAAAATCTGCTTTCTAGGCTACTAATTACACTGTTTAAAATAATACATAATTTCGAGAATAAGCTTTAAAACTACACCAAGCATGAAAATTCCACAAATAACAAAAACAACAATTTTACTCAAAATAGAAGTCACATTTCAAATGTTAAGCAAAACTCATGAAAAATATAAGTTTAAAACCAAATACAAGATATTTTAGCTGAGCCAGTTACCAAAACGTGCAATCGCTCATGGCAGAACTTGACATTTTCTAATTCTCGGAAAATACACCGGGTAAAAACTGATGCTATCTTTTCAAATAGCATTACATTAAGCAAATTGTCACCTGAACAAGATGGCACAAGGCTGCCACCTTGTGAAAAAGCTCAAAACTACCTTCCCAGGACAAAATTAGCTGTGCTCAGACACTAAAAATGACTTTTTCCCAAATTAAGTTTTTTACAGAAATGATCCGTTATTAAAAAAAAAAACTCATCTACTCTTAAGCAGAGTCACGGATAAGGAAGATTAACATCCTGAGTGATATGTGCATGGTGAAAACCCATGCTCCTTTCAAACATGCCTGTTGAAAATGTTGTCAAAGAACTTCAGAGGAAAGAAAAAAAACAGAACACTCAGGAATATCTGACAATACATTTTACAGCATATAGGATAGATGATGTTGCTGCTTCAAGGAAGCAATGTTCATCTAGTATTTTAAAAAAGTGATTTAAAATGATTTGTCTTTTTTTTTTTAACCTCAAATAAGTTCTCCACAGTGTGGCTCTTCAGCCCTCTATCTTGATTCTTTCACCAATTATTGAAAAATCACCTTCTATTTTTTATTTAAGGAAACTTAAATTAGGCTCTTTACATATTGATTAATAAATGTTAGGTCTACTATTTTTCTTTGCATTTTGTATGTTAGATTTCAACAAATCAGTGTGACTTTTTCTAAGCGAATACCTGATTTATAAAATTTACAGGTTTTTTTAATGCTGCTGTAAGCAATTTCTATGCCAAATTTCCCCAGCTGAGGAGTTAACCTGAAGTTAATGATCAGGGTTTCACTGAAACTAAGAAAAACCTTTGACTATGGAAAGACTTTTAACAATATAAACGAGGATACACCTGGCCCCTTCCACATGTCTTGAAGAGGAATAGCTAGTAAGTATTTGCTAATACAAACAATTACAGTGGAAACCGTCCAGGAGCAATATAGTAAGACTAATTTTCCAAAAGAGACACTCTCCAGCTAAACTAATTCTTATATCTAGATTTAAACAATGTCACTGCTACTGTTATTTGCCAAATTCTTAAAGAGATCGATGACATTTGGAGACCTCCTCTATGACTAATTATGACATAATTACAACCATTTCCATGTCTGAAACAGAATCTGGCTGTTATGTTTCATCTCATTTTTTAATCTATTTTATATATTTTGTATAACATTATGTATATTTATATATTTTGTATAACATCTGATACAACAGCAAAAGTAAAAACACAGCTTTACACTGAAAATAACTTTGTCTTTCCATGTTTATTAATTCATTGGCTTTCTTCTTTAGCACAGCATAATTCAACTCTGTTTTTAAATTAGCAAAATACATCGAGAGTAAAAGTACTGTTAAATCAAAATAAATCATTACACTGACACGCTTCATGATAAAATATTGCCAGCTAATAATCTTATTTTAATAAACTTCAAAGGCATCTCACTATCTCTATTTTTTTCTACTACCTTGTGATATGGGGCTGCTTGGAAAGGTTTTCTAAATTTTGGGGGATCTCTCTCTTGCAGTCACTTTTCCTTACAGGAGAATTGCACAATTACATTAAAATAGTACATATCTGAACTTGATTCTTTCTACCGGAAACACCATTGCTACATTAGTCGGGAATAAGAACAAAGCACAAACGTTGTTTTGTTAACGATGTAGTAATCTAAGGCATGCAGGTATCACTATCAACAGACCTCTTGGACGAAACAAAAATGCCTGTGGACTGTTTTACAAAAGGAAATTTTGTATCTTGTTAAAGGAAAGCTTGCTCCCCTAAAAAAATCAGGAAAAAAAAATATAGAAAACAATTCAGGATTCCAGACAGAAATGCCATCGGAATGCCACATTGCCATTCCAATCTGTGCAATACAAAAATATGAGTGCACACATAAAATTGTACTACGATGTGCCTGTATGTGTGTGTGTTATATCCTGAGTTTGTTTTACCTGACTGGTATTCAAAAACAAAGCTGGAAGCAGAAAGCATGCAGGATTATCCTGCAAAATCCACCCTATTCTCCTGGCCACCCATGTACAGAGAGTGGCAAGGAGAGGCTGAGTCAACCACACACCTGCAAGAGTTAGGAAAAGGGTGCGGAGCCAGAGAACATTGACCTGAATATTGTAAAGAAAATGTAACAGCACTGCTGTGGGTCGGTGACTTCCTATCAGGAATGTTTGGGAAAGCAAAGGCGAAAAAACTCCTTTCGGAAAATATTTGCACAGATTCGACTGACTGCAATATTTCCATTATGGAACAAGAAAGATCTTTGACAGACAGTTTGTGAGGTTTTGGATCTCCCCTGTGACATGCACATAATTTAGCTGTATTTATAAAACTTAACAGATAACTAGAAGTGATCAAATATTTTCAACTCTAATTTAAGACATTTACTAAAGGGAACCATTCTTTCCTTCTGAAAATAACGCACTAGATGTTTTAAAAATTCATATATATTGTATTCTTTACCTTTGTAAAAAGAAATATATAGTGCTTAGTTCCATTGGGTGTGCATATATATATATGAAAAACATTTAAAAGAACAATTCAGAAATGCCATTAGTATTCTTTTTAAGATTACATGTTAAAGGTCTTAGAAATACTCAGTTCAACTTTGGAGTGCACTCCCATCCTGCTTCAATACAAAACTGTGAACACAGAACCTCAGGACTTAAAAGCCTTATTATTTAAAAGGGTTTTCATTAGACTGTATTCCACCCTGTAATGACATGTTTCAGCCTGGCACATGTAAATTACTCCCCTCCTAATAGGTCGTATTATCAACTGCAATTTATCCTTTGTTGTACAATAATGTTTATTCCTCCAAAAGAAGGAACATGCACATAGTCTTCACTCTATTTTCTAAATATCAGTTTGAAGTAATTTTTTCAAAATGTCTCAACGATTTAAGAGCCTACGCTCTGCAAAACTAAAGCATGCATTTACTGACCAACAACTCATGAAAATTCATTGGGATGGAGGTGTTTTTGAGAATGTTGCACTTTAGTAGGGTTTCATACCTTGGCCTTTAGCAGACCCAGATGTAAATGGTCTGTGCTGAGCAGTAAATACGCACCCAGAGGTTAAAAACAGGTTAAACACTTAAATACTTTATTTTAAAGCAAACCTTCAAAACATAAACTGTCATACTTTCAGAAGTATGTTATAGAATACATGATTATCATAAAATATGGCTGTAAACATCTCCCTTTTTTCACATTATTTACAAAAAGGTTTTCTGAAATTTTCCTTGTTCCGTATTTAATCCTGCACCTTGTAAATTCAACAGATATCATTCTCACATTCAGTTCCAAGAAAATAAGTAACCAATTGACTTCTATCCCTGGTTCCCACTGGGAAAATAAATACATAATGTAATGCACACTATTTATTCCAGGGTCTATAGCCCTGAAATAGAACTGGGTTTTCCTAAAGGAATAAAGGTACCAAAAAAAAAAAATCACCACATAAACCTCTGTTCTTCTTCACTATTTGGCCACTGAAATGTTTTGTTTAGAAAAAGATAAAATGTTGCTACATTCACAAAAATATAAAAAGCTAGCTCTAGAAGTTGTTTGTAAAGAGATGGAAATGGAATATTAAGCCTATATATTAAGTATGGCAAAATAAAGTAACGAAATTCTAGCAACTTTTGAGGAACTGTAACAGCAAATAAACATACAAAATACAGTAAAACCCAGAATATTGATTTTGATTTCAAGGTATCAGCAAAACTCCAGCCAGCAAACATATAGACTGGAACTAACATGTATTTTACAAGCTCATGTCTTTGGAAGATTTTTCTCCAGACATAGAACGTATAATGCCTGTTATCTGCTAGTAAATACTTATGAACATAGGTAAATTTCCAGATAAGGAATAACGAGATGACAGCAATTAAGCTGTACTGCAGAGGGTGCTTCCGTAAGGTCTGGAGGAATTTCCTGATTTTAGTAGGGGTCAATAAATGGGGGAAGGAAAAAAAGAGAGTAAATGACAGAAAATAGAAGAGCTGAGGAAAGTGCAAACAGGCCTCATGGCTGCTTCTGTCACCAACAACTATTCCACCGTTGATGAAGACAAAAGCAAAGAACACAACTACTATTATGATATACGGCCAAGTTAGAGCAATAAGCTTAATTAAATTTTGAGGTGATGTGAGGTACTCAATAAGAAAGCGTAATACTCTGATCAGATCTGAAAATGATCCTTTAATGGACGAAATCTTTTCATCTTTCTTTTTTAGTAACTCTGTCTTCCAGACTTCATTCAGCTTTTCTGCAATAACATTTCCTGCACAAAAAACTGTCCATACAATATTTGTCTGACGAAACATGAAGCCACAAAAACCAAGCAGAGCTGAAGTTTTATGGTTACCATAAAGGCACATTAAATATGAAAAGAGAGTAAAAAATACTGATCCTGGGTCCGTATAATAAAGGAATGTAAAAAAATAAAGTGTGGGAAACAGTGCAAGAGTTAATGTAGACAAGATTCTCTGGAAACCAGACACGGCCTAGGGAAGAAGCAGAAAAACACCATCAGTAATATCCAGTAAAAATCAAAAATAAAGAGTGTCATTCTTCAGAATCCCATTACCACAACAGAACATCTCTTATGCTCTTTGATTCCATTACCGCACTGTGATGCATGCTACATTTTTGCTAACCTCCTGGTTTGCTAATACAGCCTGCAGGACAATACAATGCTGAGACAAATGAAATCAAGAAGCATTACTGCTAGTGAATTAAAAATACAGTAAAAAAAAGGTACTAGCTTCTTCTGTATCTCAGATGTTCACATATTTGTAGCGTTAAAATCACTGTAGGAGCATAATTGTTCTCATACCTATGATAAGAGAACTGCACAAATGGGCAAAAGAAAAGGAAAAAAATGCTTTTTATGTTGTATGCCCCTGCAATCTCAACATTATGTTATGTTTATTTGAGACACAGCAGATCATATCATTCTGTGCTGGCACTATTGCCTCCTCTGAAGCTAGCCCACAGAGGGAGCAGTTAAGCTTCTAATCTTTGGTGTAGCTTTTGTTGGTTATTTTTGTTACAATTCATGAGTTAGAAAAGAAACTCTAAGGAAGGTAGAAGATCACACAGTTAAGAACTCCTCCCAATTATCCCACTCACTACATGTTGCAATGTAATTCACAACAATAAAACCGCTGCATGATGGTTCTGAATGATGTAGCGTGGGATGAAACAGCCAGTCACCACCACACTGAAAGCAGGAGAGTGCTAAAAGCTCAAGGAAGTAGCAACAATGCAAGTACATTTTGTAATACAGTCAAGCTTAATACAGCTTATAATACAGCCAAAAACCCTTTTGTTTTCTTGCATTTATATTTCCATCTCCAAATATAAAACTAAAAAGCGTTCTAAAAGAGGGGAAAAAATGTTGGTTTTGACCTAGTTCTGTATGGCTTTTTCATGTGCTTAAACACAAAGTGTCTTCCGTAATCTTCATAAGAAGATACCATAACAATGAAACCTTTGAATCATCAGTGAATGGAAAAAAAAAAGTTCTTATGGTTTAAAAGTGAAACTAAAGATAACAAACTAAGGTGAAAGGCTTTAAATAGGCAATTAACTTTTGGAGCAATCTATCTGAAAGAGCATTGATTGGTCCATCACTTGGATGGACAACTAGACAGGTAAAAAACTGCCTGGATGGTCAGACTCAGTTAAAGGGTCATATTCTATCTGGAGGTTGGTAACGAGTATCGCAGGGGTCTCTGCTGCAACCTGTCCTGTCCAACATCCCTATACCTGCAGGCAGCAACAAAGCACACAACAAAACAAACTCTCCTAAGGTTTGCAGATGATACCAAACCAGGGGACTGAGGCAATATACTCCAGAGCAGACCTGTCATCCAGAGGAACCTAGACAGGCTGGAGGAATGGGGGCAACAGAAACCTTATGAAATTCAGCAGAAAAAAAAAATGCAAGATCCTTTGCTTCGGAAAGAAGAACCTGCTTTCTCCCATTTTGTTAGCGTTTGTTGCACCACCTCTAGAGTAGCATATCCAGCCCTGAACACTCTGAATAATAATAATAAATAAAAAGACTTTGGTAAACTGGATTGAGGGTGAAGGGCCATCACGACGGTCAAGGACTGGAGCACTTGCCCCATGAAGAGAAGCTGTGGGAGCTGGGCTTGTTCAGCCTGGAGAAGAAAAGGTTTCAGGGGGACCGAAGAGCAGCCTGCCAATACCTGTGAGGAGGTGGTGAACTGTCAGACAACAGATAAAAACTGAAATAAGAGCATGTCAAAATGCATAATAAAAGGAAAATTTTTTTCACCGTGGAGGTGAAAGGCAAGTCAAGCCACAGGTTATCTGGAGAGGTTATGCTCTCCATCTGGGAGGGTTAGCAAGACCCAACTAGATAAAAGTCCTGAGCTGATCTCAGAGCTGACCCTGCTTTGAGCAGGAGATTGGACTACAAACCACCTGAGGTTCCTTTTCCAACCTGAAATACCCTGTAATTCTAAATGTCAGCATCAAGTCTGATACCTATCTAAAGAATACACTTTAGCTCAAACAGCTCACGGGGCTTTGTTCAGGAATCAGCATGTGAAGTTTTATGTTGAGTCTTAGGCAATTCCAACTAGAGGAGCACTCAATCCTTCAGGCAAAAGCTCCATGCGGCTATTAACTTCATGCGTTATTTCAGTGAAACTATTCATGGTCACTCATAAGAGGATCTCATCCTTGGAGATCATGACCACTGCTCGTAGTGATGATAAAGAGGTGCTTGGTCCGTACCTTACTTTTGGGGTGCACCTTGGAGAAGAGCAGGTAGAGCAGGTAGAAGTTCCCGATGCTGAAAAGCAGGTTGATGAAGCGGAGCATCCCAGTGGAGCACGCGATGCTGCCCGTCCAGCCGAAGAGCCAGGCCAGGGGCCGCGCGACGCCCACGGACACCAGGTAGAGGCCGGGCAGGGTGGTGATCATGGGGTCCCACTGCGGAGCACAGAGGGGTGCGTCAGGGGCACCCACTGCAGCACTGGGGCTACTTACTGGATCTGGGGGTTGGCGTGAGGCATCTGTGTGTCCCTGCTGCCGGGTCACACGCTAAGGGTCAGGGCACAGAGCCCTGAGAAACACGGGCAGGTGCTTTGGGTGCCTTGTAGCCATAATAATAGTAATGAAAATAATAATTTAAATAATAACAACAATATTATTATGGTTCATAACGATAACCACACGCCCCCTTTTTGCTCATGGAAATAACGCTTCCCGACCCGAAGGACGGCGCCGGCTGGCCCCGAAACCCCCGTCCCCAGGGAGGCGGCGGCGCGGGGCGGCTCGGCCGCGGCGCCCGGGGGGACGGTGAGGGCCGCGCGGCCGCACGCACCTGCCCGAAGCGGCCCTCGCAATAGGCCTGCGCCTGCGGGACG